GATCTCAGTTTTATAATCGATTGTTTGATCGATTTGTAATTTTTTTGTAAATGGGTGGTGCCTCTATGTTACTTTTACTTCAATACAACTTCATAATTTATTTCAAAAAAAATATATCATTATCATTCCTTGTCAACCTAGAATAAGAGTGAGTTAGGAAAAATATGTAGGTTAGAATGGTTACCAGAATACCCACAGTTTATTGCCTTGGTGTTTGGGTTGCCATATCCATGTTTGTGATATGGAACAGGTAGAATGCCTTTGCCTGATGATGTCATATCATCATTGGTCCTTGTCAACATAGAATAAGAGTGACTTGGGAGAAGTATGTAGGTTAGGATGGTTACCAGAAGAACCACAGTTTATTGCCTTAGTGTTTGGGTTGCACACTGTTTCCTTCTCTGGTATTGTGCATTTATTTGGATTGCCATGCAGCTCTAACCCATCAGTTTCTTGATGTTCTTCATCTTTGCCCTTACCTTGTCCAATTTCTGCTATTTTACCCCACAAACATAAGTAAGCCTTCTCTTGGCCAAGGTGTTCCTCATATTCTTTTTCTTCCTCTGCAAGTGACATTTCATAAGAAGATTCTATAGTTCTGTTTCAAATCTTGCACTTGCTCCTCTGCTGTTACCAGCCCCTTTTTCCTTCCATTTTTGTCATCACAATGTTTGGGTAATTGTTTTAGATCAAGGATTTGTCCATTCACCTAATCTGAAAATTGTTTGTGTGCAAAATCTGACTCTCCACCTCAGGCTTTCCTCTGTTTTGCCGCACTACAGGAAGCGAAGAGTTATGGTTCTATTCTGCCTGAAGGGAGACTGTTTTCTCTGGCTACCCCACCGCAAGGGAGGAGGGAGGGTGGACGAAAATCATCTTTGATCAATTTTGGTTTAGAAGCCGGCTCAGAATTTTTGGCAGGGCAGGGTCGGTTTGCCGGTTTGGGTCTCCAAACCCCAGCTTGTTGCGGTTTCGGCCCGATATGGCATTTAGGGATCCTAAGCACCACAATAATAATGATAATAATTATTAATACTCATTATTATTGTTATTATTATTATTATTATTATTATTATTATTATTACTACTGTGATTCAGAATTAATTTTTTTCTAGTTTTAGGTATTTGAGTGTCTTTTTATGTGTTTATGGAGTTTTTTATATGTTTATATATGGGCAATATGTATGGAATAAATTCAGTTAAGTAGTTGCTAAAGTTGACCAAGTCTAGGAAGATAAGATTAGGCAGTCGTAGCAGTTATTCATAAGCAGTATAACAGTTTATGTAGACTGTTTTTAGCAGTTTTTAGAGATAGTTTTAGCAGTGCTGTTTCTACCAAGAATAGAAATTGTTCCTTAATTTCTGTTCTATAAATCCCTAGTTCTAATCTAAGAAAATAATGAAAGGAAATTATTAAAAAATGTTTAATGCTTATTTACTCAAGAGATTGTAGAGTTCTCTCTTAACGAGTCCATAAGTGTAGGAAAACTCAAAAGTATTTAAATATTTCTATAGACTTTCATGTAATCGTCCCATAACTAGTTCTATTAGTAGGAACTAAAACATCTGGATTGGGCCTTATAATTTGCTGAAGGCTGCGGGTTATGTAGAATGGGCTCAATTTTGTTGTTAAGCCTGAAGAAAACTGCTTTTTTTCCCTTCACAGTTCAGTCGAGAGGTTGCTGCCTCCTGAGAGCTTCTCTAGGTTATATTTAGCTGAGTCAACTTGTGGCCACCTTATTGTTCTCCTTCCTTCTTGGTCTACATTAACTTCCAGTGATTAAGTTTTCAATTCCACAAAATCTTCCCCAGAATCTAAAGCAGATTGTGATGCAAGCTTTTTTCTATTTTGAAAATTGAATCCTCTGATTTGCCGCCTTGCTGCCACCCACAAATCCTCCTCTCTTGCCGCAGTACAAGGAGCACTGCCACCTACTTAGTGCACAAACTCTGTTCTGCATGTCCAGTATGTATTGCGCCACCCAGCTCTTTTCTTGCCGCTGCCTGTCGTGAGGCTTCCTTTACTTTTGTGCTCAGCATATCAATCAGCACAACTGCCACCTCTTTCCATCCCCTGTTATCTCCACCTATTGGAAAACAGACCTTACGTGTGCCATGGTCCCCTTCGCATCTTGACAATAACAGGAAATGATCCAATTTAACAAGCAAGCATCCACTAGTCACCCCATAAACTGGAGCATAAATGATCCCCCAGCCTGAGTAGTCGTTATGCAATTGACAAGCTATTCAGATTCCCATCAGTTGGGTGCAATGTCATAAACCTAATCCTTGTCTTCTCTTCAATCCTTATCCTTTAAGGAGTCCCATTCCACTTGCTTAAGAAGAAGAGCTTAGATACTAATGAAAAATGTTCTTTGTTCTACTCATGAGGCTTATACTAACCTAAATAAATAGCTGAAAATGGAATAATCATCCCTGCCAAAACTTTTTTTACCATCTGGCTTTAACCTTATCTGTAGAATGCTCATGGAAAGACCATGAATCTGTATAAATGAAAAGCATGATTTAGGAACTATTTCTAGGTCCAGTCCGTGAGAACCGTTCTTCCTGTCAGAATGGGATTTTCTTTGATATTTATAATCTTTATCAGAATGAGTTTAGCTGTTATGGGTTTAGTTTTCACCAAGATTTGAGGTGATGGTGCCAATGCCTGTAGTCCTGTAGCATGGGAAAGTTTCTGAACTTAATAGACATCAGTCCAAACATGCCAAACAATCTAGTTCATAGCTGCATGCTGCATCACACTGCAGAAAAACATGGTTGTGCATCTTGGCCTGCACCTACACATAATGCAAACATCTGGTGAAGGAGCACGACTTAGTTTACATTTTTGCAACCTCTCATTGGTATTGAGCCGGTTGAGAGTCCAAGTCCATGCATGCGTACTTATCTGTCTTCCGTTTCTTGTGGTGAATCCTGATTAACATTTCCTCTACTTTGTTCTTGAATGCATACTAATCTGTCTCCCAGTAAATTCTTTTGTGCTATATTTACCTTATTGGAGATCCAAGTAGTTTTTTATTAATTTTTTGTCAACTGCAGACTGCATTTGAGCTTTATGGTATGCTGTCTAGAGCTGTTAGTCCCATTACAGGAGAGAACATAATGCCAGTTTATGGAGGTGAAGAAGCTTTTCTGAGGAAAATCATTGCACCTGTCTATGAAGTGATTGCAAGGGTATTTGATGCAATTTCTTGACCTTCAATGACTTTTTGGTTTTTTTCTTATTTTTGTTGTATGGAATTTCTCAATTATATATCTAATTGTAACAGTTGGATATTGACAGGAGGCTAAAATGAGCAAAAGAGGACAATTAAAGGATTCACAGCAGAGGAATTATGATGTCCTAAATCAGTTCTTCTGGTATTGAACAATCTTACTTATTCTGCATTTTACATATTGTCCTGATTGATATTTTCATACATGTTTAATTGCAGGTCTGTTGATTGTTTTCGGTTAGGTTGGCCAATGCGTTTGGATATCTTCCATATGTCTCTTGCACAGCTTCCTTCTAAGAGAAATGCGGTAAGAAATTATTGTGAGACTCAAGTGCCAATATCAAGAATCTTATATACTTTCCTAAACATCTTCATTTTCCTCAGAATGTCTGGTGCATCACTATGCATCCCTATGACCAATGGCTTAAGGGGAAACCTTTTCTCCTTTATACAACCCTATGAACTATATACTGTTTTCATTTCAAGACTACAATACACCCATTAAATTAATAAGATCCAACTTTGCCCCCATTGATACTATTCAAGAATAGAGGCTATTCCTTCTCTCTTTGGTTCTCTCCCTTTACCTAGGGGTGGCAAAAAATGGATTGTGCTTAAAAGGTTGTAGACTAATATCTCTAATTCTTACATGATTCATTTAGTAAGTAGGTCGTTATTTTTAAATTGACACTCGACTTTTTTATAAATGGACCAACATTTTTTGACCTGTTTGAACTATTTATCATAAAATTTAAGTGTTTAACCAATCAAAAAATTGAA